TGTAAATAGTGGTATGGGTTTTCCTTCTGGCTGAACTCTGAGCTCCTTCAGAGAAGTTGCTTTTGCGTCTTTGTGTGATCCCACTCGGGAAAGGTTTGCTGAATGATTCGGATAAAAGGTACTGTCCTTCCTCCTTCTGAGGAAGGCACTTACCTCCTCCTTGGGGAAGGGGAGAAGGGGTGATTTTTGCCTGAGGTCACACTCAGGTCTTCAAGGATTAGCTTCTGGGCAGTGACCATTTTGCTTTGTTCCCATTAATTTCTCTTGTCATCTCCTGGAGTATAGTTGCTTTCACTCTTCATCATCTTTGGGAATGACTAGCGTCTTGTATTTCTCTGAAAATGCTTAACCCCCTCCCCGCCTCCATCAGATGCTCTCCTTCAGCTCCCACATTTTAGTGGGCTGCAGTTTGCAGATCTGTCCTCTTCTTCCGGATGAACCTGTTCCTCCAAACTCCACTTTACAGAAGAGAAGAAAAGGGAAAGCCCGTTGAGAGGCAGGTTGGGAAATCGCCAGGGTAGTAAATGGATGATTTTTTTGTGGTTTGTGTTTTCTTTTACACCCTGGGGAGCAGCTCAGAGAAGGAGCTCTGGCTTCCCCCGCAGAAGCATGATGTCCTGCATAAGGGCTGAGGGGTGGGGAGGAGACATCCGATTCCCTCTTCGTGCTAGTCTTTAAATCTAGAAAAAGTAGGAATGCGGTGCAGTGAGGGGCAGATCGAGGCTTTCCTGGAGTGTAATCCCGCGTCGTTCTCCCTGGCCAAGAGGATGATGCCAGCCACCAGCAGAAGGCAGCCTAGCGGAGTCTGCCTGACTTGATGCCTGGGGCCCGGCAACTGCCCCTGAATCCCTCCCTCCTGAGAGACTGCTGAGGTTCTTCTCCAAGCAGAGGAGAGAAAGAAATGGTGGAATTAAACTGTGTGTGTTGAGTCTCAGACTAAGATTTAATTTGCATTTGCTGTTTAGGAGTGAGAATGAGAAAAACTGCTGTGGTCTTTGCTATTCATAAAGTGTAATCTTAATGGAAAAACGTAGTAAAATAGAAAAGTGTGATGAAATTGATCTTGTGCTGTTACTGGTCTCCATATTATGCTTGTCCAATTACACGCCATCTTCCCCCTGAGAAGAAACAACTGAATTATAATTACAGAGTTTGGGCCGGGGCTGCTGACAATGAAGCGTGCCAGCTGCAGTTTCTGGTCACATGTCCTTGGTGGACAGTGGCAGTTGATTTCAGCATCGTCCCCCCGGGGTTGTCCTGTGGGCGGCCTCTCCCTCCCAGTCTCTCAGGCTGGCCCCCAAGAGGAAGCTACTCTTGGAGCGCCTGGGTGGCTCAGTCGGTTGAGTGTCTGCCTTCGGCTCAGGTCATGGTCCCGGGGCCCTGGGATGGAGCCCTACACGGGGCTCCCTGCTCGGCGGGAAGCCTGCTTCTCCCTCTCCAGCTCCCCCTGCTTGTGTTCCCTCTCTCACTATATCTCTCTCTGTCAAATAAATAAATAAAATCTTAAAAAAAAAAAAAAAGATGAAGCCACTCCAGGAGGAAGAGATAAGCTTTGAGAGGACTGGCCCTACAAATACAAACCTGTAAAGTGGGAGCTGGCCATGCCTTGCAGAATGCCGTGAACTTGAATCTTTTCCTTCGTCAACCTTGCTTCTTTAACGCTCATTGCTTTTTACTCTTGGAGCCTTCCGCTCCAGTGTGGTTTTTCTTGAGAGGAAGTGAGCAGTAGGAGACACACAGTGGGGTCAGTATTGCTACCCAGGATTAGTGAGTAAGGAAGGCTGCCTTATTCCGTCCCCTCTCCACCCAGTATTCTTCTGCCAGCCCCTGGGTTAACGTCTGGGAAGATCTTGTCTTACTACACTCGGTCTCAACTGAAAGGTAGAGCCACAGCCCTGCCCGTGTAATTTGGATAATTTTTTCCCCCTAGGTGCTTTCCTCTGCAAGGTGAGCACAGTTACCTGGCTTACTCACAAGTCCCAGAAAGAACGCCCCCCCACCCCCCCCCACCGGTTGTTTCTTCAGGGCATGTGTCCGGTGTGGAATGAAACCTGCAACTTTGTAGTACGCTCCTTGTGCCTGATCCCATCTACAGAAGATCCCCGGAGAGCTCTCAGCCACTGGAACCATTAGCTCCTCTATAAAAAGAGTCCATCCAGGCCTATTTTTGTTTCTGTCCTCAAGCCACTTGCTATCAAGACATTACCCCATCTCATAGGAGGAAGGCAAGCCGATACCCTTTACTCAGGACAAACCAGAAGCAATTTGAAACCAGGGAATAGCGAAAGAATCATTAAGTGATTTTGAATTGACCAGCAGGCTTGGTTGCTTTCATTTGGAAGCAGAACAGTGTCTTTGGTGCCCCGGAGACTTGATGGGAACGCTTTCCTTTTTTCTCGCACTGTGACCTTGGACAGGTTTGCAAGCTTGGCCAAGTTACCTGATCTCTCGGGGCCCGGGGGCTGCATCCGATCAGTTGGGGATCCTGAGGCCTCCCCGCTTTGCAGGGTTCTCCTAGCATTTAATGTAAAGGCATTTAATTGATTTATGTATGGTGTCTGAAGGTTCTAGCTATTGTCATTGACGTTATTTCGTACTTCGCAGTGAGGGTGCAGGAAGGCCCTTTGAGAGACATGCCTTTTGGCGAGCACACCACATCGAGCCTTATATTCACTCGCTTTGGTGGTTTTCTTGCCTCTCCCTCTTCAAGTAACAGAATAGAACATTCTCCTTTTGAACTGTGTTCCCTGCTTTTTGAAAGTAGTGTGATTGAATTAAATATTCATGCAGGTATGGCATGTCGTTTGAAGGGGGCATTATCATAGGCTTCCTCAGTAATTTTCTGGTGGCAGTTTGCCTCCGCATCTGTGACTTTTTCTGACGGACCTCATGTTCTTTTGATTTCCCTGCTGCGGTGGGAAATGCGTACGGAGCATCAAACAAATTAACATGACAGAAAATTACACCTTGTGAAGTGTACGGATTTCTTTTGAAACTTCTCCTTTGAGGCACAGAAAGATAAGTGGGCCTACTTTATAAGTGACAGAACTAGTCAACTTTCTGGTAATTCAAAAGACTTTTGTGGACCCTGCATTACTTGGTTCTTTTCCTTTAAATGATTCAGGAGCAGGAACCATACAATATATTCTGTATCTAATTAGTCTGGCCTCTTTTCTGTGAACATTTTTCCTTTTGGTTTTCTGGTGTCTCTAGCCCTGCGTAGAAGCCATGAACAGGAATGGCTTTGGGGGCGCCTGGGTGGCTCAGTCGGTTAAGTGTCTGTCTTCAGCTCAGGTCATGGTCTCAGGGTCCTGGGATCGAGTCCCGCATCAGGCTCCCTGCTCAGCAGGGAGTCTGCTTCTCCCTCCCCCTCTGCTGCTCCCCCTGCTTGTGCTCGCTCGCTCTCTCAAATAAATAAAATCTTTAGGAAAAAAAAGGAGGAACAGTTTTGCCTCACCTACTGTTTAGCTTGGTGTATCACCCTTACCCACTCTGAGACGCAGAATGCTTATCTATCTGCGGGCTTCAGAGCAATTAGAAGATCAAATGCGTTGATGTATCAGTAACTTAGTCTAGCTTTTAGCACAAACTCGTTTGGTTATTACCTGTATTTTCATAGGTGTTTTTGTACTATAGAAAGGAGATCCAGTCTCCCTTCTCCCTTCCCTCAGCTCCCCTTCCCTCATCTAACCGCCAGTGGGACATTCATCTATTTTTATCATAAAATAGCTTCTGTGTCCTACAGTCTCTAGAGATCCTGCAGGATGACCTCAAACAACCATCCAATCAGCCAAAACATTTTCCTCCGACGTGTCAACATCTTTCTGAGATAGTATCTCCTTGTGGTCAGTGACTACTTGCTTCTCTCTTCCCAAAGCATTTTATTTTGGTCCAGATACAGGGATTCGTGGACTTCCAGGCAGATGCTTGGATAACAGGACCTTGCCCAACAGGCAAAACTAATGTGTGGTATTTGAAAGTCAGGGTGATGGTGACCTTTGGGGAGAGTGGTGGCTGCACGTGTGTGTTCACTTTAGGTAAATTAAGCGAGCCACTCAAGATTTTTGTGTTTTTCTGTATGCAGGTAATACGTTAATACAAATGTTAATTAATTTTTTAAAAAGTTAACTTTTGGGGCACCTGGGGGGTCAGTGAGTTAAGCATCTGCCTTCGGCTCAGGTCATGATCTCAGGGTCCTGGGATCGAGTCCCGCATGGGGCTCCCTGCTCAGCGGGGAGTCTGCTTCTATCTCCCTCCCTCTGCCACTCCGCCTGCTCGTGTGCGTGCACATACTCTCTCTCTCTCTCTCTCAAATAAATATATAATCTTAAAAAAATAAAAGGGTAACTTTTCCCTCTTTTTGCAGATACCATAATTCACGCATGTATTGGAAGGGTGATAGCTCATTCTTAGTTGAGAAAGTCTTAAATGAAATTAAGTGAGGAAGCAAGTCTAAGCCTGTAAGGGGATGTGGGTCAAAGACAACTTACAAGCTCTTTGATCATACACATTTGTATATAGATGGTCTGTAGATGTTCTACTTGCTAGTGATTGTGTTCGGTAAAAAAGGAAAATTTAAACAGGTTGCTACCCTTTTACCCTGTAGTTGTAATTCTTATAGTTTGAAAAATGATTCTTTCTTGCTTCTTTATCTTTCTCTGTATCATCAATTAGCAAATTATTTGCCTGACTGGAGAAGAGATCACTTATAAAAGTGTATGATTTTAAAACTCACGCTATACCATTAGGTGCGCTTGCTGTATACAATTTTTTATTAGCCATGGATTTACATGCTTGCTTCTGTATGGCTTTCCCTAATAAGGTTGACTCTGTGTACTGTGACAGCCAGAAATTAGCTGGGAAGTGGGAAAGAACAGTTTTTGCTGTGGATAGAGAACAAGAGGTAAACAATAGTTACCCTGGATTATAGGTTTTTCTTATAAACAGCTCATTGTCTTAGAAGCAGCTCATTACATTTTAATTTACTTATTTTCTTCTAGGTTGGAAGGAAGATTGATGCAGACAAAAGCAACATGATTCAGGTAAATGGGTTTTTATTTTCTTTATGTACCTTTTATGCTTGGTTTATATTTCCCATGTTTTCCCACTGAGAAGAACTAAAATAAAAACCTCGATTTTTGTGGCCAACTTGAATATATAAAGAATGTTTTGGGTATATAGCGGTAATCGTCGAACGCCTACTTAGACCTTTTAATTAATTTAGTCACATATTGTATATTTAATAGTCGTGTATTTCTGTCAAACAATATTATGACTCATGCTGTTTCCTACCTCAGAGTAACTTTCTTCCCAGTCCTTACATATGTATCTGATGCCAGCGACTCTATTATTGGTCACATTTTTGAAGCCCCCAGTAGCATTTTCCAGAGCACGTTAACCATTTTAGTTGTTTGCAACGCAGTGCGCTTGGAATCCGTGCGTGGTGCTGTAACTGGAAGTTTTACTCCCAGCTGTAAGTGACCATGTGCCCAGTGTTAGGACAGCTGTTATTCTGGAGATCTCTACTGGGTGACGGTTTGTAGGTTGGCTTTGTTAACTATTCTGTCCTGCTTGCTTGCTTCCATCCATTCATGTATTTTATTTATTTTGAGATAATTACATGCACAGTGTTTGCAGTTAAAATAATTCTATAACAGGGATGCTTAGGTGGTTCCGTTGGTTAAATTTCCGACTCTTGATTTTGGCTCAGCTCATGATCTCGGAGTTGGGAGATCGAGCCCCACGTTGGGCTCCTCGCGCAGCGCGGAGTCTGCTTGGGATTCTCTCTCTCCCTCTCCCTCTGCTTCTCCCCCACTCATGCTCTCTGTCTCACAAATAAATAAAGAAAACACAATACTATAACAGCCATTCCCCGTTGTTCATATGCTGCCAATACTCCTTTGCCTAGAGGAGCCCTTTCCAACTCTTTCCCTTATATTCTCTCACATTTGCCTACCTGTTTCTAAACAACACACCATATGCTGTAAGTACCTATTTACTGATCTCTTTTAAAATTTTAGGCTTTTATTGATTTCCTGCTAAGGATTTAGCCCTCACACGTCACCCCTTACCCTCAGCGTGCACCGTCTCCTCCTCTCTCCATTTTGTGCTTATAGTTGTGTTATGGTGTGTGGACACGTTAATACTTAATGTTTGCTTTATTATGACTGTATTTTGTTTGTAGCTGAGCTTTGTGACACTTATGTGTAAATGTCTCAGGCCGTTCTGCTTCCCAGCTGGTTGTGTAGGATCTGCTTTGTTTCTCGGGAAAATGTTTGACTCTTCTTTATTCTCAGAATGCTGAAATTTCCAGCTGGGACATAGGTCTTAGGATCTTTTGATGTCAGTGGACCTTTCAGTTCTGAAACTCATGCCCTTCAATTTGGGAAGTTTTCATGTACTACTACTTGGATGATTTCCTTTCCACTCTTTTTTCTCTTTCCTGCGAGCTTGTTAGTTGACTCTTTGGACCCACTGGTTTGATTCTCTTCATCTCTTAGGTTTTTCTCTGAACTGTTTTCCATCTCTGTGTGTTTTTGTTATACTTTCTGAGAGATTTTTTTATTATTGTCGAACTTTTAATTTCTGCCAGTGTGTTTTAATTTTTACTGGTTTCTGAATGTTTCATTTTTAAAAAGAGGATCCTGTTCTTGTTTCATTGGAATAGGGATGGTTTGTCTGGCTCTACCAGCTGGGGAAAAGATCTGGGATTCTAATAGCCACCCCCCCCCTTTTTTTTTTTTTTTGCTCAAAACAACACAGTAGTTTTTTGACCTTAGAGTTCTTTAGGTCAGAAGTCCCCTGATGGTTCCCACTGGGCCACAGTCAAGGTGTCTGGTTGTGTTCCTTTCTGGTGGCTCTAGAGGAAAATCCGTTCCCTGCCTTGTTCTAGCTTCTAGAGGCTGCTGATTTCCTTGGCTGTTGGCCCCTTTCCAGGCAGGGGCTGCTTTAAATGAGCAGGTCAAATACATCTCATACTGCATTTCTCTGACCTCTTCTGCCTCCCTCTTTGACTTTTTAGGAACCTTGTGATCACATTGGACCCACCTAGATAATCCAATATAATCTCCCACCTTTTTTTCTATTGTGGTAAAAAAACCAAAATATATAAAATTTGCCATTTTAGCCATTTTTAAGTATCTAGTACAGTAGCGTGAACTATATTGATATTGTTGTACAGCAGACCTCTAGAACCTTTCATCTTGCAAAACTGAAACCCTGGACCCATCGATCGAGCTCTCCCTTCCTCCCTGCCTCAGCCTCTGGCACCCACCTTCTTCCCCCGGTTTCTCAGAGTCTGACCACGTCACATACCTCATGGAAGTGGAATCTTACGGTATTTGTCTTTGGGTGACAGGCTTCGCTTACTCAGCATAATGTCCTCAAAGTTCATCCGTGTTGTAGCCCATGACAGGATTTCCTCGTTTTTTAAGACTAAGTATTAATATTCCATTTTATGTCTGTACCACTTTTTCTTTATCCATTCACCCATTGATGGACATTCAGATTGCTTCCACCTCTTGGCTATTGTGAATAGTACTGCCGTGAACCTGGGTGTGCAAATGCCTTTTTTTAGTTTGTTTTTATTTAAAAAATTTTTCCATATTTTATTCAACTATAATTAATATACGGTGTTCTGTTAGTTTCATGTGTACAATATGGTGCTTCAACAGTTCTGTACATCACCCCGTGCTCGTCACATGTGTACTCCTTCATTCCCATCACCCGTTTCCCCCATTCTTCCACCCACCTCCCCTCTGGTGATCATCAGTGTGTTCTCTGTAGTTAAGATTTTGTTTATCTCTCTTTTTCTTTGTTTCTCACTTGTTTTGTGTCTTAAATTCCACATATGAATGGAATCATGTAGTATTTGTCTTTCTCTGACTTACTCACTTCGCATTATATACTCTAGTTCCATCCATGTCATTGCACATGGCAAGATCTCATTCTTTTTTATGGCTGAGTAATATTCCGTTGTGTATATACACCACATCTTCTGTATCCATCATCAGTCGGTGGGCACTTGGGCTGCTTCCATGATTTGGCTGTTGTAGATAGTGCTGCAATAAACAGAGGGGTGCATGTCTCTTTTTGAGTTAGTGTTCTTGTATTCTTTGGGTAAATATCCCATAGTGTGATTATGGGATAGTAGGGTAGCTCTGTTTTCAGCTTTTTGAGGAAGCTCCGTACTGTTGTCCACAGTGGCTGCACCAGTGTGCATTCCCCCCAACAGTGCATGAGGGTTCCTTTTTCTCCACGTTCTCACCAGCACCTTGTTGTTTCCTTCCTTCCCTCCTTTGTTGCTACTCTGACAGGTGTGAGGTGCTACCTCAGGTGGTGTTGATTATCTCCCTGTTGACCATCTCTGTATCTTCTTTGGAGAAATGTCTCTTCAAGTCCTTTGCCCATTTTTTAAATTGTGTTATTTGTTCCTTGGGTTGAGTTGTAGGAATACTTTATGTATTCTGTGTATTAACCCCATTATGTAATTTGTAAATATTTTCTCCCACTTCATAGGCTGCCTTGTGACTGACTGTTTCCATTTGTCTGTTTTTGCTTTCGTTGCCTGCACTTCTGGTGTCAAATGCAAGAAATCATTGCCAAACCCAGTGTCATGAAGCTGTCCTCCTGTGTTTTCTTCCAGCACTTTTTGGGGTCAGCTCTTACGTGGAGGTTTTGAATCCATTTTGACTTAATTTTTGTGCCTGGTGTCAGGGAAGGGTCTGACTGCTCTTTATGCAGACTTTTAGCCAGTCCCCCTCCTCCCAACTCCTTCCCCCTCTCCTTTGGAGGAACCACAGCCCCATTTCCTGAGTCTTTCAGGGGCAGGCAGCTGGGGGTTTTTTTGCCTCTCTGGGCAGTGAGGTTCCGGCTGGCTCTGGCGGGCTCAGCGGTCATCTCTGCTTTCAGCTTCCAGAATGTCACTGATGTCTGTTGTCTGCTCTCATCTACTTTTCTCTTCTCTTTGTCCTTAGGAGTTTTTGTCTTTTTCTCTCTCTTTACCACAATTTTAATTGTAGGGGGATTTCGAGAGAAGCAGAGATAAACAGCCCCATTCCATTGGATCATCGATTGCTCCAAAATCCAGATTGCTCTTTTAAATGATATTTAATATCATGATAAAAGAACAATCTGGATTTTGGGCTTTTAAAAAATGGTATCTCATAAACGCTATTGTCAGGATGTACCAGAAATAATTGTTCAGTCTATTCCTTTGCTTCCTTTTCTGTTAAAACATCTAAGGCTAGCGTTGATTGAAGGTACTTCCCCGAACATTAGTTTATAATTCAAAATAAACCGATTTTTGTTCGTAATATGAGGTCTTCGACGTAAGACGATACTTGTTTCCTGAGGTACACTTCTCTCGTGGGCGGAAAATCCTTGATTTATTTTCAGGTCTCTACACTGTATATTGGTATCATCAGGACATGATGTTCTTTTATGTAAATATATTTTACTCTGGAGCTTTAATTCAACACTCTTGAGCCAGTGTAATGGCAAGCCTAATTTTTGTTAGTTTATGACCAACAGCAGGTTATCGTTCCTGAGGGTCATGGTTTCCCCTCAGAGAAGTGACCACCTTTTCATTGACTTGTAAAGAGGGTAACACTAGTTACCCCTTGTTTTCATACTGGAGTTGATGCCAATAATTTGTGAAAATCAGTTATTTGTTGACAAAGAATGTAGATAAATTTATAAAAGAGAAATGGCTCTGTGACAGAGAGTTACAGACTTGAGTTTTCAATTAAGAAAAGATGGGGTTTCGTGTTATGTATATTTTTGGCAAAAATAGAAAAGTTTTCAAAAACAGAAAGAAAGGAAAGAGGGGGATGGGAGCCCGTTGTGAATGTTTTGTTTTCCAATCTAACATGTCCATGTGTTCGCTTCCAGTGACGTGGCCTGGGTTGATAAGGTGTCTCTCAGCTTTAGGGTTTTATGGTCCATTTCCACGGTGGCCAAGCTTAAGTTGCTCCTCTGTTCCAGGGACATCACTGAGATCTTTGGGGACTGCACAGAAGCGTCTGGTTGGGAACGTCATGAAGGAAGGGGCAAGACCCTGCCCAAGGAAGCGTACGTGAGAATAACGGAGAAGGAGCCCGTCGATATACGCAGTACAGCCGCTGTTGGAGTAGGTAATGTCCAGAGCTTGAGCCGACCCTGCCCTGGCCCGTTCTGCTGCCCCCCGTCAGCCGGATCCACTCTCTGGAATGGGCACTGTGCTTAGGGCCGACCGTTACCCACCTTCTGACCTCAGAAGCCACTTGACCCAGCTGGGGGCTGTTGCCCTTAACTCCTAGGGCAGCTCTGACACAGCCTCTCCGGAGCTCTTCCTGTTGCCTGCAGGACAAGAGAGACCATAAAAGCAGCTTGCAACTCCAGGCGGATGGCAGTGATAACAAATTTGTAGCCAGAGACCGCCCTGCCTTTGATTCTGGGAATGGGGCGCCGGTATCAAAGCTCAGCGAGGGCGTGGCCTTTGAGTCCCCTGTTCTTTCCTGGCTTTAGTCATACCCTGACCCATGCCCTGTGAGTCTTGAACTTTGACCCCTCCCCCTTCCCCCGCCACCCTCCCCCCAGTTACAGTGTGAAGTGCTTGCTTCCTTGCCTTGCTGTGATAGCCTTTAATTCTTATCTTCTCTGTAATGCTTATTGTCAAGGTCAGGGTCGCCCATTATTTCCTATTCTGTGACCCTCAGTGGTTGTCTTTTGATACGCTGGCTCTTTTAGTATGGAATTGGCCATGTCATGTATGTGTCACCTTGATCCTTTAGGGTTTTTTTTTTTTGTTTTCCTTTTATTTATTTATTTTAAAGATTTTGTTTATTTATTTGAGAGTTATTGAGAGAGAGAGAGAGAGAGAGAGAGAGAGAGCGAGAGAGCACGAGGAGGAGCAGAGGGAGAGGGAGGAGCAAGCTCCCTGCTGAGCAGGGAGCTCGATGTGGGGCTCGATCCCAGGACCCTGGGATCATGACCTGAGCCGAAGGCGGACACTTCACCGCCTCAGCCACCCAGGCGCCCCTTTTGTTTTCTGTTTAATCTACCAGTGTAGAACACTAAGATGTACCCTGGGCCAAGTATTTTATGTCTTTGATCATCACATCATCATGGGAACATTAAACAAGTCCCCTTTCCTAGATGAGGATACTGAGGTTCCAAGTGGTTGCATGGCTTGCTGCTGTTGCCCACAGTGCGCCTGGCGGACCCGGCATTCGGCAGTAGGTCTTTCTGTCTCTCATCCTGCGCTGTGCGGGTTGTGTCCCATGCTGTCAGGTTTTGAAAAATACCCCCATGCCTGTGGAATTGTAACTCTCCCACTCTACTTTTTCCACTAGTGTCTGCTGCTTGTTCCCATTTCATGGATTCTTGTTTGGTTTATGATCACACTTAAACATTTAACGAGCATATTAAAACAATATTTTCAACAGTTATGGTTTCATAATTTTACTGCGAACACATTGTTGGTCTGAGACACGATAAAAAGTGTCCCTTTTCTAGTGCAGGCTCTTCTGTGTTGGGGGATGAGTTGTGAGTCGATGCCGAGGCCAGTGTAGGTGGAAGAGTGGCTTGCATGTTTCTGACCCAGCCCCATCACCCAGACCCTTGCAGGACAGGGTCAGTGAAGATGACATAGCAGAGACACGCCGCTTTGCCAGAAATCTTCATGTAGTTCACAGAGCTGTTTGGGAGCCTGGATCCTTTGAAGTGTAGACCATGTATTCAAGTGCGTGTCCTGTCGGTGTGCACAGCCAGGAAGCTGCCCTGAAGGATGTGAGCTTGAAGTTTGAGTCAGTTTGAGAATAAATGGAATCCACTTTATTTTTCAGTAGTGGGCTACGTGGTTTGAAAAATCTGTCTATTAGGCTTCTAAAATACTTTTATTTAATTAGCAAACGCTCCATGTATACCCATATGTATTTGAAATCTTCGCCCAAATCTTGGGCGGGAGGTGTGGTCTACCTTCTTTGAAGCATGAATCAGCTGCAGCTGGGACGTCAGGAAGCCTGCCCGGCCTCGGGCAGTCAGAGACCGGTAGAGCCAGCACGTGAACCCGGATTGGTTGGATTTCCCGGACTGTGCTTTTGACAATGACTCTGCCTCCCTGATTACACAGCGCAGGGACATTTATGTGGCAGACATGTCCAGGAGGCTTTTTATGCTTTGCATTAAAACAAAGGCAGCCTTACGACAGGTGGTTAAATAAGCCTTGTCCTCACAGAGGTGGAGGCTTCTAGATGCGCCTGGTGCTTGCACTGGTGAGGCTGTGCCACGTGGTTTACGGTGGACCGAGCCACCTCTGGGCGTCTGGGAGGAGTGGCTGCTCCGGCCACTCACCGTCCTCTCCCATGAGCTTCCCACGCTGCCCGTAGCAACGAGGCTTGACTCACCTGAGCGGTGGCACGAGCTTCTTTTTTTTTTTTTTTTTAAGTATTTGTTTTTTTTTTTTTTTTTTAAGATTTTATTAATTTGACAGAGAGAGACACAGCGAGAGAGGGAACGCAAGCAGAGGGAGTGGGAGAGGGAGAAGCAGGCTTCCTGCGGAGCGGGGAGCCCGATGTGGGGCTCGATCCCAGGACCCTGGGATCATGACCTGAGCCGAAGGCAGACGCTTAACGACTTCTGTTCTTTCCGAAGCAATGGTGCCTGGAGTGTGGCCACACAATCACACAGGTCAGGGCAGCTCCGGCGTTTATACGGGGATCTCAAAATTTACAAAATCTGCAGATCTCAAAACATCAGGTATATAATATCAGTATCACTCTGAGTAAAATTTTTTTTTTTTTTAAAGATTTATGTATTTTGAGAGAGAGTGAGAGAACGAGCTGGGGGGGGAGGGGCAGAGGTAGAAGCGGACTCCCCGCCGAGCAGGGAGCCAGATGCGGGGCTTGATCCCAGGACCTTGGGATTATGACCTGAGCCGAAGGCAGATGCTTAACCAACTGAGCCACCCAGGCGCCCCTGTTTCTTTTTGTTTTGAAATGTGTCTTTCCCCTGATATTACACAGAAAGTTTGGTAAACATTGACGGGTTCAAACAGCAAAATACACACCACCACACGGAGGTAGCCACTGATAAGGTTTTGGTGTGGCTACTTCCAGGTTTTATTCTTGTGAATGAGTATACCTCTTAAAAAGTACAAAATTAGAATGACAGTGTTCTAAATCCATTTTTACTTACTATAACTTCAGTGTTTTCCCCATGTTTTAAAATTTTTTTTACAACATGCTAAGAAGTGGCTATAAAATGTTCTCCGTGGGTAATAGCAAAAGTTACTCCATCCTGATCTTTGATAGCTAGTACCTCTCCAAAGTAGGCCACCGTGGTAGGGCAGAAGTGTTGAAATAAGCACAATTGCCAGTAATTTTCATCCATCCTGTAAAATGACTAATGACGGTGAAGACGTGGTGATGAGAAAACCCGGGTGACGTCAGCCACGTTATGCAGTGGGTGTGACGTGTAAATTCCCAAATGCCGTGCTTGAAGGAAGCCCGGGACATTCCTTTTGACCTGGGTGCTTTGAAACCGGCTTTTCCTTTCCGTGTGGTGGCCCACCTTTTTGTGCTTTTGTTTTTGTTTTTGTTTTTGTTTTTTTGAGAGAGAGAGAAGGAGAGCATGAGCCGGGGAGGAGCCGAGGGAGAGGGGCAAGCGGGCTGCACACCCAGCGTGGCGCCCAGTGTGGTGCTCGATTTCACGACCCCGAGATCAAGACCTGAGCTGAGATCAGCAGTCGGACGCTTAACCGACTGTGCCACCCAGGTGCCCCAGAGGTGACCCACCTTTGACAAGTGACTAGTTTCTCCATACTTGAGTGAAACTTTTCACATTCTGATTTGCAGGTTTTCACCCTCCTGGTTGCTTAATATATTTGATGCTTCATGTACTAGTTAAGTGAGCATTTCCCCTCCCGTTTTCTTTGGCTCTTTCACGTGGGTTAAACCCTAGGTCAGACTGCTGTAGCGACCCCAGCCGCAGGCTGCCTGAAAGATGCTGCTTTTGCGGTTTCCCGGGGTGACATTCCCAGTGCAGCCCTAGTGCGGCTTGTGAACCCGAGAGTTCTGTGCTCCTTGGGGTTGGAGTTCCCCAGCTGAGGTGCTTACAGCTGAGATGGGTGAACACTTAGCAGAAGTGCTCCACCCGGAGCAGGCTGACGTGAGGCGGGGACTGTAATGCATTGTTCCTTATTATTCTTCTCTCCCAGACTTCGTGATTAAGTTAAATTAATCACCATCACCACCATCTCATCATCATCACCAGCATCACCATCGCCACCAGGCCACTGCTTTCCAGACCTGCTTCCTTATTGCCCCTGGGACTCCAGCGTGCCTGGGAGCTGGGTCGGGGCTGAGGGTGGAGGACAAGGCCCTTGACTTCTGTATTGTCCCATCAACCCACAGCCCCGCTTTTATATGTTGTATGTACTGAACTTCCACAAAGTTTTGTTTAAAGAAAGGACTCTTGCTTCAGGAAGGAAAGACTGATTGATAGTCACCATGGCATAGAGAGCCTCGGGGAGGCCGACAGAGAGAAGGAAGATGCACATGCCCACAGTATTACTTCAGGTTTCCCTTCTGCCTGTGTTTCTCCTGCAGGCACATCTTGCTTCTTGGGTTTGGTACTTAACATAATCCCTCCAGTTGGAATTCCCCTAGACCAACCTGCTTTGAAGTTCATGGTTTCCATAAATGTGCCTCAGAAGTTCTAAGGTTAGGAGAGACGGACGGCTAGCCTTCCAAACATTGGTGGTGGGAGGGGACTTGAGTGATGGGGTCAGCAAAGGGTGGTCGTTATAACTGGTTAAGGGCCCTGAGAGACTGGTTTCTATGTTAGGGTTGATGTGGACAGTGGGGAGATGTTCTTGTCGTCACGAGTGATGTGGTGTGTGAGACTGATTGAGCCTCAAAGTTTGTGAACTCTTCGTTACCTGTTTCTGTTTCCTTCTGTGCCTTTGCTCACACTGCCGGGTGGAAGACTCATTCCCTTCCCTTTGTGCCTGCTTAACTCCCAAGTCCGGTTTAAGTAACTCAGCTCTCTCTCTCTTTGGCTGCTTTAAAGATTCTGCTTTGTCTTTGGTAGTCGTGGTTTTTTACATCCAAGTGGGGAGCGCGCTTTCCTCGCTTTCCCCTTTTCCCGATTA